GGTTCTGGAATGGAAGAGGACTACTGGAAGGACCTCCCAGTAATCTAGGAATGAGAAYATAAGGCTAGAAAAGGATATTAGAAATAGAAAGGAAACAATAAACAGGGGGAGCTATTTGTGAAGAAAAATCCAAGAACATTTGGCTACTGACTAAGTTGAGTAAAGGCCCCAAAGCATCATTTCCAAGTAGCTGGAGGAGTGRTTACTCCATGTAAAAGGAAGGGAAATGGTAAGAGACTTGGTATAAGAAGAAAAAAATTCCACTTCAGGCTTGTTGTGTTCGGCTGACAGTGAAGCATCAAAGTGGAAAAGACTCATACCCATTGGGGAAAAAAGGAACAGGAAGTCATGTGAGATGACAGAACTGGAGATAAGTGAGAACCATCCGCTCAAGGGAGATGATTCATGTTCCTGAGAAAACAAACATGAAAACCTTTATGATGCATTAGCCAAAAAGTGTTTTTCAGTTTTATAGTTAAACAAACAACAGCCAAGAGATTAATAAAATGACCTCACTTTTTTTTTTTAGAAGTGTTTTGAATGGAAGCTAATTATACACTTTAATAATTAACATTTTAATTTTTTAGAAATGTTTACTACAGAAACTGAAGACCGAATTCAGGTCCCTTGGCCTTTTGAAATGTATTTTTCCGTATTCATGTCTATCCTATTTGAGTTCCCAGTTTATGATTGTTGTGGTTTTATACTGTGTTACCTCAACTAAGGTGGACCTACATTTCCCAGAATTCCCTTCCTGTGCAGTTCTGGATGAGAGTTGAGATGAGAATCCTGTATCAGTTTAGGACCAAAGTGACACATCAGCCCTGGACTTGCTTTGGTTGCCTCTAGCCATGATTACAGTCTGCATACCATGTTGCTCATCACTGGCTCTCTTATCAATGTTGGGGAGCAGGGATTGTGGCTAGATCTCTTCCTACATCTTCTCTAAGTCCCAGGCCAGGGAGGTACCTTGTTAGATTTCTTGGAGAAAGGCGGCCATTTTTCTGCASCTGGCCTGAAACCCAGGATCTGATGTGGGGAACGACAGACTGCAGTCTCTTCTCATGGACTCTAGTTTGTTGCAGCAGGTTCAGTGCTTTTTCTTCCCTCTGCTTTGAATCCTGTTTTCCCTCTGTCTGCAGAGACTCTAGGCTGCAATCAGATGCATAGGCAATAGTCTTCCAAGGACATCTTCACTAGCCTTCCTTTGTGGCCCTGATCATTAAGTTTCTGCTTTTCCTCTAGCTGTCCTGTTCTAGACCTTGCTTCCTTGATTTCTTCCACAATTATGTGATGTCTATTCCCTATGAGAAATTCCTTACCACATTACACACAGTAGCTCTTCTGGTGCAATTGTTCACGTGGTTACATTTACCCAGGCATTTCCCTACCCAACCTCCCTTGAATTGATTTCACCTATCGTATTGTACTTATTCTAAAGGGAACATTAGCTACAACCAAAGGATAATAACATTTTAAAATGCATCTTAATAATTTAAAATAAACATTGATAGACTAGGAACAAATATTAACATAAGGTCTGGGGCAACTAGGACTTCAGGTGCTTGACACGGGGCATTTATCAGCACCCAAGCTCCAGCTGGTAAGTGATAGAGAAAGAAACTTCTAACTTGCTTAAGCCATTGTTATTTTGGTTTTTAATTTATATCAGCTGGGTCTAATTTTTAACAATACTTACATTCAACATATTTGAAATCAGGTTCAGTTATCCAAATGAATGCACATCAAAAATTCTCTTCTTATCATTATACTTCTCTTTTTTCCTATAGTTTGGCCTTTAAAAAAAAAATGCTTACTCAACCTATCAAAGCTGCAAAAAAAGAGCAGTTGTGTCTCTACCTTGCAAAAAGTACAGAGTGGCCCATGTGACAGCCTGGTGAGTATACAGTGACAAACTACTTTTATTCATTCTTACTTTCAATGTCTCTTCCAGGAGAGGGCTGAACTAAAAATAATTAACAGATAATGTTTGGATCTGGAATGTCTAGGCCCCTGGGTTAAAGGCTTAGACAATAGCCTGGGTGCTATGGGAGGTGTGAACCTTTAGGAGGTGGAGCCTAGTGGAAGGAAATGAAGTCATTCGGGGTATGTCTTTGAAGGCAATATTGGGATCCAGGTCCTTTGCTGTCTTTCTCTTTGCTTTCTGGCCACCACTATGTGGCTGTTTCCTCTACCACACATTTCTGCCATGAGGTACTTCCTTGCCACAGGTCCAAAGGCAACAGAACCAAGCAACCATGGATTAAAACTTCAGAAACCACGAGCCAATATAAATCTTTCCTCCTTTTATATTGGTTTTTCTGCTCCACACGGCAATGGAAAGGTGACTAACACATTAAAATTTGCTGTCTATTCTTGTCTTGGACTAGGGAATTCATGTTAAATTTCAAAATACAATAAATGTTTTCATCTATTCCAACAAGTTGCTCAATTTTTTTTTTGAGGTTCGGTGTCTTTGTTTTTAAAATTCAGTGAATATTATTTCTTCACAAGGTAGTGACGAAGGTAAAATGAAGTACTCCAAAATATGTGAAAACATAATAGGTGTCAGTACATACTGGTTGACTTTAAACTTTAATCATATTTTTAAAAATTAGAGTAGATTGTTGTTTAAGGAATCCTAGAAGGTAAATAACAAACATTCTCTAGTAATTGTTTCCAAAACCAAGCTAGGTTTCCTGAAAAAGGGAATTCATGATCTAATGCAATGTGCTATCAAGTGATGTGTTAAAAACTGCAAAATTTGCTGCATTTTCCAAAAATTTTCAGAAGTCAAAGGCAGAAGACTGGCATGAGATTGAAAGGACTCTAACCATGAACAAGTTGATTCTGGAAATTTAAGATTACTATATATATATATAAAATATGTGCCATGACACAAACTCTTTCAACCTGAGAGGTTCAAAACATTGGGTCAAGAAAATTGATGTACAAGGAAATATTTTTAGTTTTATAATGAACATATATGGAAAAAAATAATTCTGACAAAAGAAATCAATGGATTGATAACCTACTACCTGAAGTTTCTCAAATAAGCCCAACTTACTTGCTCATATTGGAAACTTTCACAAATAAGATCAAGTTGTTCCTCTGTGTATGACCTGATCCTCTGATAGACTATGAAGCACTTAAAATAAAAATGTAAAGAAGATGCTTGATCAGATGTCATTAGCTTAAAGTATCAGAATAGCCACATAAATATCACACAGATATGTACCCAAAATATTGAATCCTAATAACGGTATAAATGTATTTTTAGAAGGTGTTCATTAAGAATATTTTATCATTGATAAGTCTTAAGAAGAAGGACCAAGTTTCAGGAACAAGTCAGAGCAATCCAAGGATAGTAGCATGCTAATATTAGTCTGTCTGCCCCACACAACCTTCTCTGGGAAATATGGAGCCAGAGGACAGGCCAGCTTTTGGTCACCCATGTTTTGAAACCTACAATCAAACTTTGCCCTTGTTGATTATACTTGAACCGACACCACTGACTTTGCATAGCAAAAAGCAGGGTTTATCAGATTTACTCCTCATCTCTTGGAATTTGAACAAATCAATATGTAGAAGCTGAGGTTTTAGAAGTGGGAGTAGAAGCTGAACAATGAAGAGGTAGAATTGGGGCAAGAGAGGCCATATCAGCATGTGCAAGTTTAGTGCCCAAAGATGGAGCAGGCCAACCCCAGTGGTTGCTGATTGGAAAAACCTGACTGGATACAGTACACCTGCAATCTCCGTGAGGACAGGAATGAGGCCTTGCTTGTTCATCACCATTTCCCTAGCATTTTGCATGGTTCTTTATTCTTTAAAAAAAAAAAAGGCACTCAACATATCTTTGGAATGCAGTTAATGAGTTAGCATTCAATAGAGAGAGCAAGCCCTTACTTGTCCTTCCTCTAGAAAGCCCATCCAGCACCTAATGCCAGAGACCTACATTTGCCGTGAAATTCCTTTTTCAACACAGCCCCTATCTCTTCTTATTCGTCTGAAACTTCCAACATTTCTTTTTATTTTAGCCAATTTGTTTGCCTCCTTGGTTCTTGTCAATAAGTTTCAAAACTAACTTGGTAACAGGGAGAGAACAAGAAAAAGGGGAAAAAGGAGGGAGAGGAATGAGAGGGGGAAAGAGAGAAAGAAGGGATGAAAGTAGAGGTGGTATAGAAAAACTGCCTTCAATATTTAGCACTTTTTTTTTTCCTAATGAGGCATTAAAAAGACCTYTCTCAACCACACTACAAGAAGGTTCCAACTTTGGATTGAGGCTAAAAGTCTGCAGAACTGCAACAACCAACCTATTCTAGCAGATCCATCTCTAAAAGAATTTACTCAAGAAGTGTTTGGATTTTCTTATTGGAACAGACTGGATCTAAAAAATAAAAAACAGAAAATGTTGCCTGTTGGCTGCTCATATTGTGTTGAATGGACCTAAGTAGATTTCCATTATTCTATTTAATAGATAAGAGTGAAGTGCCCTGAAAAATTATTGTAGCAAATASAATTTACTCAGAGAAAGAATGCATCCTCTTCTATACTCATAATTTCTCTCTTCTTCATTATTACCTGAATATATTTATCATCATGTCTTTAAGAAAATATAAGCACTTGATTTATTTTGCTTCCACCCACAAGGAAACTTAGGAATGGTGTGCAGGAAAATATAATCCCAGAAAACATTGCTTTCATAAAACAATACAATGTCCTTGGGCAATAAATCTCTTTATAGGTTGATTCATACCCAAACAGTTGTATTAAAGTATTCTCATATTTACTTATGCTTTTCAAAAGTCCTGGGCTTTTCAAAAGCAGGTACAAACTGACCACATTAGCAGAAACGTCAGACGGCCATTATTACCCTTGTCTTGCTTCTAGTACTTATATGTAGCAACATATTATAGCAGTATGATGTTCTGACTAGTTAAAAACAGTACACAGACATTCATAAGGCAAGAGAGAAACGGGATAAAGAATAAAATACTTACTTGGTCCTAGACCAATGGAAAAAGCAGCAATATAAGCAAGCAAGCTGGCTAAGGACAGCCATTTCAAAAATGCTGGGACATCAGCAGCGTCGGTGACTATCTGGTGTTCAGTTTGGCTTAGTCCAGCATTTGGTAAGGGTGTGGAGGTGACCTCCCCTCTCTTATCCATGTCACTTTGCATGGGCATAAGCGAGCCCCTGCTGAGGGAAGTGACCCCTTTAAAGTGATCTCTGAGAGTACTGTTGCTAGCTGACAGATTTCTTGCTCCATAATACACAGACTCGTCCAAGGACTGGTTGATAGGACTGTGGTTTCTGCAGATGTTGGTGAAGTTCATGTGAATGTTAAGATTCACAATGCCCATGGTCAACAATGAAGCTGCCATTACAGAGGAGCCAATGCAGAGGAAGGTTCTGCTGCCAAYGTGATCTACAAGAAGGGTGGCGGGGATGGTGCTGATGACCTTGACCACCCCAACCCCAGTGGAAGCGAGGCTGGCTGCCTCATTACTTTGAAAGCCAACAGACTTCAAAACAGTTGATGCATAGAATAATATGTTTGGCTGGCCAGTGACTTGTACAAAAAATACCAGTGTTAGACCTATCATGATTCGGGTCCTCATGTTGTCCTTGGAACGAAACAGATCCCAAAAAGTATACTGATATTCATCTTTCAAGGAAGATTTAATCACAGTGAGTTCCTCAGTGGTGTCTGAGATGGCTCTTAACCTTCCAAGAACTTTGCTAGCAACTTCTTCTTGTCCTTTCATCACCAGAAACCGAGGGCTTGGAGGAAGACAGTACATCGCAATTGCCTGCAAAACTCCCAAGGGAATAACAAGACCAAACATATACTTCCATCCATGGGAAACACTGGCGAATGCATAATTTGAAATATAGGCAAAAAGAATGCCGGTGACAATCATCAGCTCATTCAGTGACACAAGAAGGCCTCTTCTGTGTTGGGGAGCAATCTCTGCAATGTACACACAAGTGGCAATGGAAGACAGGGAAATGGAAACCCCTATAGCAATGCGTCCCAATATAAGAACTGTGTAGGAAAAACTGAGTATCAAGACCAAGCTTCCAAGTCCAAGTAGACAGGACGACAAGATGATTGCAGTCCTTCTTCCATATCTGTCTATCAGGACCCCTCCTGTGAGAGAGGCGAGGAAGGCCCCAATGAGGAGGGAGCTCACAACCATTTCCTGCTCATGGCAGCTCAGGGCTAGTAGGGTTTGGATCTGGAGAAGAGCCCCAGAGATGAGTCCAAGTTCATAACCCACCAGGAGGCCACTGAGAGCCGCAGTGACMGATGTCAGGAAAGTGAACAGGCTGCAACCTACAGGAGAGGAAAAAATGGACATTTGTTCCAAGTTGTAATTTTAAACATTGTGTGTTTAGAATGGAGGCTTAACCTTGTAAACAATGAGTTTAAACACAACTACAGAAAATCATGCACAACCCCCCCCCCAAAAAAAAAAGATTAATTATAGAAGGAATTTTTTTTTTCTTTCTTGTTGAGGAGGAAAGACATGGAGATATTCAGGAAGTCCAGTTTTCCTCTATCTGTGATATTGATGTTGTTTTTAGTTAAGAGCAGACAGCCATGTGAGATAAGCAGGTGACTGATGATAAAGACTGAACAAACAAGGATACTGCTTAGCTTGTGCCTTGGCATTGGATTAGAAATTCACCTAACCTGGCGCTTCTGGTCCCACTCCAGTTCTCTAAAGACAAACTTCTGAGAGCAAGATGCGGTGGGTAGGAGCCTTTAGAAGGACCACAAGCTCCCTGCAGTACACGGGAACCAAATGAAACTAGCCTCCAAAACACTGGCCCTCCTGTCTCCCCAGCCACATGGGGCTGTAACTGGCTTCGCTGAGGAACGTGAGGATATTGGGGCAGGAAGTGGAAGTGGCATGGGAGGTGTGTAAAAGCCTTCACAAAGTCAAGGCTGTGTTAGAAGGCAAGAATGGCGGGGGGATGGGTGCAGGGTAGGGAACCAGCAATATTCACTATTCACTTTGAGGAAGAAGGAAAGGGAACGAATCAGGGAGAACTTTCTTTTTTAATGTTAACATTCTAGGGAAAAGGTCAAACAGCAAACAGTTATTAATTTCTGTTAGTAGGTGCACAGGTGCTTATTATATGTCAAAATAGAAACCAAAATTTTTAAAGTGGCAAAGGGAAAAGCATATTAGCACAGGAGAGGGCAGTTTCCAAAGTGCAGGACAGGAAAGCTCTGGCCATGTCTTAGTAACTGTCAATGGCCTGCACATCGTGTGTGGGGCTCAAGGTGGGGCTGGAGAGGTAGCTGCGATATGGAGAGTGAACTTGTATAGGCAGGGAGGGGACACTTCATGTAGACCTTGAAGGTCACAGTGACAACCTTTCATTGTATTGTATTCCAAGTATAATAGGCTCAACACCCACTGAATGGTTTCAAAACATTTCACACTACGGATTTCTTGTTTTCCTATGTGCTGCTGCTTGGAGACTAGCTCTTCAAGGGGCAAGACTAGGGGCAGAGAGAAGTATGTTGCCTTGGTTTTCAAAAGAGGAATACTTAGACCTGGGTGTTCAGAGTGGAACTGGAGAMAAGGGGACAGATATAAGAATTATTTGGGAGCTAAAAATGACTATTCTTGCTCATGAATTGAAGGTGCGTGAATGTCCTGGGACCTAAGATGGCTCTGTGCTTTGAGCACAGTATTTGACTTGCTGTATGCAGTACTGTATGCCACATGGGACGATACAACACCACAGGGAAGAACTGGGTGTGTGTGATAAAAAGAGGAACAAACATCAAAAGTTACACTTAGGACTTAACTAAAATGCTTTGCTTGTTTTACCTGGAAGATATTTGGGTACAAATGTCCAGTAGTGGATGTTGAATGTACAGATTTGGAGTTGAAAAGGCAGATCATTGCTAGAGATATATATATTTGGGAGTCAGAAATAGAAAAATGGGTGAGATCACTTAGAATAGGGGAAAAGAATAAGCAGGATTAGGACTGGGACTTGGGGAATTCTGACATTAAAGGAAGAGGATCCAGCAAAGGAGGAGGGGAAGAAGCAGAACATGGGCCAGAAACAACTGCTTAGGGCAGACAGTCAGCAGGCCCATTTAACCCTGCCTTGGAGGAGAGGAGAGTGTATTTTGGAAATGTTATTCTGCTCTCCTGGAATAAAGCAGGTCAAATGAAGGTGATATAAATCTCTTCTCATCACAGATTTTCCCAAGTATTTTCCATCTACAGGGTCCTGGTGGGATATGGTAATTGGGAAATTCCAAAATTCCATAAATAGAAACAAAAAAAAAAACACTGAGTATTTAGATGGAGGGGTAAATAAGAATGCAATAATTCTTATTAAATAAAACTGATTTGTGAGCACTGGACCATTAAATTAAAATTAAATCAGTAAGTTCTTTAGCTAATCAGAAAATAAATATTCATCACCATTTTATAACAGGCTGAACCATGTATATAAATAGTGGTAATAAACAAATGTACCCCTTTCTCCCAAGAAACTGAACTACCCGATGATATTTCCATTATCTATTATTTATCATGTACTGGTTTTATATGCAAGATGACTTTGAAGTGGTCTCTTATATAAAGTACTTTTAGGCCATTTGGTATCACTCAGGCCTTCAATTTCCACATATTCTTTTTCCCATATAGTCTTAAAACCCTTATTAACAGTTCCTCGACCACAGAATGAGTAGGCAGAATCGTCACATTTGGAAAAGAATATTTTATTATTCTTACCTTTACTTACTACTCCTTTTATCCGTGATTGGTATGTGATTCCTGTGTGTCTTTGGCAATTGGTAATTGGTCTCTGATATTCTGATTGAAGAAATTTTGGAGCTTGAAACCCTTGGAAGACACATTAAGTGAGGCATTGGAAGGCCATTTGGAGTGACCAAGGGCAGCCAGGTCCTCTGAATTAAGGATACAGGGAAATGAATCCCAGAATGACTGTGTAGTACAAGATTGTCCTTGCCAAACCTTGTCCATCTCCTTCTCCTTTCCCTTCCTTGCTTTCCCTTTTATTAGATGAGAAAGAGCATTTCTTTCAATGGGAAAAAAAAAAAAAAACCTCCTTAAGTTTCAAGGTTTCCTTCCTTTGATGCTCTATTATCATATCTTGGACAGGGGTAGGGGAAGTAAGTTAAAAGAATGGGGGTCACAAAGCCTGCTTCCTATAGTCTGGGGAAATTACCTCCTGAGAGAAGAGGGATCTGGCTTCTGCCGCTGCTTTCTGGACTTAGGTCATTTGCCTAGTTCTTCAGCCAGGGCTTGTAGGACACTGACAAACGGGGATGTGTGCAAAGGGTCTGGAAGCCATCCCAGTTTGTCAGAGTCCCTGAAACTTAACACTGAGCCACTTCAGAGACATAATAAAGCTATTTCCACATAAATTGGTATGAAACATTTTACCTTCAATGTTATATAACAGATTAATTTCTTATTACCTGACTTTCTATTTTACCTATCTCTAGACCTATAAGATTGAAAAGTTGCACTAGGACATTCTATGATCTTAGTCCCAGGTGGAGAGCTTACCAACATGCTGTTGTATGCCACAGAATGAAGCTAAAGCTTTAGCAGTCTGAATTTTATTTATCTTCCCTATTCCATGCTTTAAAGGGTGCCGCCTCACACTAGCATTCTCACTCACCTTACTACTGGGACTTACCACTGCTGATATTTCACCACAACCCTCAAGCTATCCTTTCAGCGTTTCTAATTCAATGTATAAGGCTACCTAATTCCAAGACTGCAACCTCTGACACCTCAAGACACCATCGCGGCTACAGATAGAGTCTTGAGGTGTCAGAGGCTGTTGCTACTTTCCCATTTAAAAATCATGAAGAGTGTCTACTTTTTGGTTAATGATGATGATAGTAGCAAGATGTCTTTCTGTGGATGCCAGGAAATACAATAACTATTCCAAGAGATCTGGCAGTGAGCAGAAGAAATAGGATGTGGTCTGAAGGGATGGCAAGAAGGTGGGGTTTGTGTTGCCTAAACATAGCTGCTAGAGTTTGGGGCAGCTGAGTGCACTGAGAAGCAATAGCCAGGACTAGGGAAAATGAGAATTGGAAATTACTGCTTTTCAGAAAATCCCCAGCTCTGAAGTCAAGCACTCTGCCCTCAACGCTATTTCATTTGTGGCCTTGCTTCACAGGGTCCCCCCCCTCATTTACATCCCTGTTCTCCCTAAAAGTGCCATAGGGAATTCTCAGCTATTCATGGACATCACCAAGGTAGAACTGTCTGGTGCCCATGGACTGTTTGGTTCTGCTCATTCTGTGTCTTCTGGCCACTTGGCTCAAAGACTGCAATAGGAAAGTCTCCAGGGTGCCTCCGAAGGCAGTGACCTCGCTTCACTAAGGTAATAGGAAGATGTGCTCACAATCGGAGGCATTAGGCAATTCAGTGGTGAGACCCACAGCACAAGGCACAGGGGGCAGCACCGGCCATGAGATGGCAGCTCTGGCTTCCACAATGGCTGCATTGTCCCTGCTCTCGGTGACTCAGATGAAACTCCAACTGGAACCAGCACTCAACACAAAAACGCTCCATTTTTCACAATATTTGAGCTTCTGCTTGCTTTCTCCTTCCCTTTTTCCCCCATATGCCTACCATGGTGTATGGACATAATGGGCACACAATAAAAACTTGCCACCTGACTAAATCCCACAGCAGGCTGAAAAGCAGGCACACACAGGTTGCTTTGGCAGGCAGCCAGGTAATTATACATACAGCTTGACCAACTATGAATGCTTCACAAATTTAAAAGAACCCCCTCCCCTTCATGTTTTGTAAAAAAAAAAAAAAAAAAAAAAAACTTGCAATTGTCCAAATAGCCTTGCTGTTTGTGTTCCCCCCTTTTTTGGCTCTTTCTCCCCAAATACCTTTGATATCAACTCATCTTTCAGCAGCTATCTCAAGCACCACCTTCCCCTGGAAGACCACCCTTAGTCATGTCTGGGTCCTGCCCTGCTATAGTCTGCTGTGTGGCTCCCAGCCCTTTTGTGTTCCCTCTGTGCACAGGCTATTTTCAGAGGGCCTGTCCCATGGTAAGGCACTCATTGATGGACTTATCTGCCTTCACGGTTGACAGAAAGTTCCTTGAAGGCAAAGCCCTGCTTTATGCATATCTGTGTTCTCACCTGTAATCATTTGGCACAAGGAAAATGGTCATTGTTTGTTGAGTTAATAACTGAATGAATAGGAACACTATTCCAGGGTACTTGGTTCCCTCCTCCCACAGCTGTATTGTCAGACTAAGGTCAATACATAGTATTAGGTCATGGCAGACCTT